GTACAAAATGAAAGAGAACGTGCTCGCCCGTGAAAACTACCGAGGAACTAAACTGTTTGGAGCTGTATGAAAGGCCGCTGGACAAAAGACTGAGAAAAGAGGTCGACATCACAGAGAACCTTTATACAACCTTTAGAACCTCTAGACATCACAGCTTTATGCTAGGCCGGTCCACCACGGATGCCATCTTCGCTGCAAGATCAGTCTTCGAAACATACAAAGAAGACAAACCGGAGATTCACATGGTGATCCTAGACCTGGAGAACGCTTTCAACCGAATTCCGAGGCAAGCAATCAAGCGGAGCGTGAGAAAGAAGCTAGTGCCAGAAAAAATCCATCGGGCTTGCCAAAGACATGGACGACAGAGTGACAACAAAAGGTTCAACGTATATGCGGTGAAAGAAAAGAATTGTCTGTGCGGGTGAGTCCGCCAAGGATCTGCACTGAGCCAACTGCTGTTCTCGATGGCGACAAGCGTGAAAACTGAATATCTGCAGGAAGCAGTGCCATACTACATGGTCTATGGAAAAGACATTGTGTCGTGCTGCGAAAGCGGGGAGCGGTAGAAGCAAACCCAAGGCATGAAAGAGACCTTGCGAAAAACGACCTTTGGTGCAACGAAGACAGGTCTACATACATGGTGAGGTAACTCATCAGAGTGAACAGAGAAAAAGCCGAAGAAACAGTGAAAGTACAGAGCAGTATGCTGCCTGAAATGCAAAAAATTCAATTACATTCCTCCATCGTTTAAGAAGTGGACTGCACACTGTGCGATAGGAAGATGTACGTCAACCAATGCACAGGCAGAGGTTAACCAAACAACAATAAAAACCGATACTCCTTACAGAGCTGAATGTTCGGTAACTCTGAATAGACATGAGCAACAGCAGGATACCGAATTCGAATGCTCAGATGGACGCGTGATGTCAAAAAAATAACCACATCCAGAAAACCTTCATAAAGCCTTCATACTTTAGGTGTAGCATCAATACAGATTAGCTTATAGAAAGCAGGCTGTCTTAGTTCGGCGATGTGAAAAGAGCCGACGAGTACGCTGGAAATATAGACCAAGCACTGATGCAGTCAGGAAAAAGAAAAACGGGAAGACCAAAGAGAAGGTAACGCCATGTCATAAATAACAATAAGAAACTGCGAGGAGTAATGGAATATTTAACAAAGATCGAAAAACTTGCCGCACTTGGCCCCAACAGTGGATCCGTCCTAAAGAGAAGAAACTAGGAAAAGAAAAAATAGACACAGAAACAAAAATACTAGCTTAGAAAATAAAATTTAATCAACATTTAAGTTTCGAATGTAACGAATGTAATGGAATGAATAAATGAATGTAAAGTTAGGAATGTTTAAATTATTATCTATTTCTGGTCAAAAATTCTGAGGAACGAAAAAATTTAACGCTGTCACTTTTTAAATAATCACTTTCGCAATGTTTAAAATCCGAAAATCAATTTGACACTCGTTCAACCGTTAATTTTTAAAGTGCGATGTTTTTTCGGTTACGAATTAACAGCTTCAGGATGTCTTTCGAATGATCTGGGTTGTCCGGTTTGCCTAAGACTTGAACACTAAAAACCGTCATTTTTATTTTATTTAGGTAAACATTTTATTCTGCCATCAGGTAATAGCTTTGCGATAATCCAGTTACAATACTCTTGTTCTCAATTTCGTTTACAGTTTTATTTGATTGTTACACTGTCACTGTTATTTATTTGTTATTTAACTCACGTAAATTCAAATTATCTATGCTGAGGAAAAGGGTTATCTCATGATCTTTTTAAAACGACAGACGTTCTTCATCAAGCTTGCAATCCGACAACCTTCAGAGATACGTTCTTATCTCGAAATACTAGCTTGACATGATGAGATGCGTTGCGTACCTCAGTGATACCAAAGACTCTGCCAGTTGGAACATCGAAAGTCGCTACTGGTGATTGCTCTCATGCGAAACTCGCCGAAGCGTAAACATCAGAGCCAGAGCATCCTAACAGTACCGAAGTAAGACATGTAAAAATCATCACACGGCGTGCCTTTCCTAGCGGCTAAGGAGGGAAATGTTTCTGACCGACCATACGTGTTGGGTTCGCCTGAACAGCACACCACAGAGACGCTCTTCGGGTGTGACAACTCAAAATGTGACATCTAACATCTGACGCAGCCCAATCTCTTGCCGCCATTAGTGAAGACGGTACAGAAGAAAAGACGGACAACTTATGGCCCCACCACTTGACACTGTCCTGTGCAATCGGATAAGGTGGTCGACTGCTACACCTGGTCGCGGCAGTTGTCTCAACGTCATTACAGTCAGTGGCTTGTTGGGTGCGGCCTAGCCTCGTAGATCATTTCAGGACTCGTCGACGCACAGGGCAGTCAGCTCCTTGGTTATTTCATGTGACCGCTCTGCCAACCGCCGCTTACAGTAACAACTGACGAAACGTGCGCTTAGCTGCTGTTTAATTAGCACTGTTAGCACCTCCTGACAGGAAGTAACCGAGCTATTCAGCGACTAAACAACGGCATCTGCAGCAGTGACAACCGAACCTCCGTCCGGTAAATTGTTTTGCTCGGATTTCGACGACATCTGAAATTTGAATGTCGCACGCCCAGAATGAACAAATGACAGACACGCCTATAATGGCGGCCTGCTCTGCGGAAATCAGGTTTATTAGCAAGCAGACGAGGTGATGGGTGGCACAGACACACCGCTGTACGCGTCAGGAGAGAGTGACGACGAAGGTCAGTCATAAAAAGCCAGTCGAAAGCAAACGACTACTCGATTTCGAATTCCAACCTGTGTCGGCACAGCGCACACCTCGAAAAGTGAGAACGTGGACGGTGGAAAAAAAGAAAACCGTCAACCGAAAACTCCTCTCGACACGGAGGCAAAACGAACGAAGAGGTAGAGGAGAGCAGGACGACCGGCAACAGAGGTTACGGCAGTGAAGGTTACAACTTTACAACCTAGCCCCCCCCCCTTGCCATGCACCCTCAGCAGCCGATATGATTAGAACGCGCGTGCCGACAATCCCTTCTTCAAACTGTAATCACAGGGGGACCGACATCATAACCGACGTCGTAACGACAATCAAAACGGTCTACAAATGCTTATGGAAACCTCTGATCGATTTCAATATTAACTGTGCGGTGCACCAAAAATCTACACGTAGCTACCGCTTGCTAACAACAGTTCATGATTAACTATGCGTGTCATCACAGCAATACGATGTCGAAATGATCGAATTCACCAAGTAAGAGTGAGCAAGATAGATGGTAGAGGAAGATCTGCGTCACAAACAAATAACATATCTGGGTTCCCCTGCGATTTAAGCTCTGCAATCCTCAGATGATGATGACAAAACAACAGCAACAGATCTGCGCTCGGCGGAGAGAAGCTCTTCTATCGCAACCATCGAGTTACTGAAGTGTAGAAAGCGTCCTAATATGTTCCTAAACGTATTGACGCTTATGCGGTAGCATATAAGGAGCATCGGCTCATAAAACATCTTTCGCAATGAGCGTGACGTGCTCTAGGGAAATGACGCGAAATTCGTCTGGCACTGCAGGAGTTCAGATACCACGTGGCCGCAGTCTGCTTAAATGCTCCCCCTGTCTCTAGGCAAGTAACGGCAAGGGGCGGTGCAACAGGTCGTGAAATTTGATTTTTGAGGAGTCATTCGCCAGTGTGAAACGTCGGGATGTGCGGGCATCATACACGTGAACACACGTCAAACAACCTACGATTACAACAAGCTAAATATGACGACGACAAAACAGTAACGAAAATACCACCAATTCACCGTATTGTTCGAACGGTAAAACGTACCGTGACTGAAGACGCAGATTTCGGGAATAAGCTGAGTCTTAAGTGCATTGTCGTGAGTACACTAAGTGTAAAAAACGAATTTATGTTTTACGTACGCCCGTTCGGTGACACCAAGATTTCCTCGGCTGTCGCTGGCGTCGCCTTGCGGACCAGAAGTAGCCGAAAGCGAAGATGCGTAGCCGCCTAAAGCCTGGTGACGACCTTCGACACGAACTAAAAGGCCGGTAGGATATCGTTCGATTTTGGTACTGGTCATGCAGAGTCACTGGAAGCGCTAACATGAGAACAGACAACGCCCAGTCGCGGTCAGTTGATTAGCTTTCG